ATAGCGTCTCTGCCCAATCAACCTTCGTGGTGCAGAGGGTTAGAAGGCATCGTTAACAAGTGCTTTATTAACTTCTTACGTAATAAAAAAGATCGTTCTAATTACGGAACTGTGAAATGTTATTCCCTGATAAAATCGTTTATTAACAATGCGGCTTTTATGATGAAGACGTCGTGTAAATGAGACGTAAGCTGAAAAACTTGGAAGCACTGGGCAGCTGTTTCGACTTGGTTGGGTCTCATCAGCGGTGCATATCCATCGACCCAACTAGGGTTCGAACTCGGGACCTCACTGATAGATCGCAAGCATACTACCCATTTTCGTTGTCTATGAGATCCCGGATTCGATCCCCAGTTAATTCGATGGATTTGCACTACTGATGAAACCCAACCAAGTCAAAGCAGCTGTCCAGTGCTTCCCATCTTTTCAGCTCACGCCTCATTTACACGACGAATTCAGCACATAAATAAATCAAATCTTTTAATAATTTCGTACGGTGCGCTTTTTGTTATCCATCATACACGAGGTATCTACATTTTTAAATGACTAAAGTCATGCCTGTGCATTCTCTCTCTCGATTACATCTAAATCCCTCGACGTTATCGCATTATGTGCTCTGAGTTTACCCAAACTCCGGCCTCAGTTAACTGTTTTTCCTTCTCTTTTTCAGGCGGGCCTTGAATGTTTGTGAAGCGGTTTCGGCCAAGTGAACTTTGGTTTTATGCTATTTCATGTCAATGGAGACAAATGAACTTCACAAGCGTCTCTGGCGCTTCTCCTTGGATTTGGAAGATTTTGAAATGTGAGATCCAGTTTCGTCAAACCTATTGGTGCTTTACAGTCAAGTTGATTACGCAGTTTGCTCCACAGAATCGCCTTACACCGTTCTACTGGACTTGAAACAAAGTTTACTGAAGGCCTGTTGGAGAAAAAACTTTCAGGAGAGATCTTGTTGCCTACAACTCGGTCTTCCGCAAGCAGTTTATTCAAAAACGGTAATTTTTGAATGGCAAATGGCTTGAACCGTCTATTCTTCTCTCAGACGTTTGTGGAGCTTTCCACCAAATTGATCGAGGAATTGTCTGAATCTTCCAGAGCTTCATGTTTCGACAAGGATCTTCAGATTCAACGGAATCCAACCGAATTAACAATAGTGATGCACAACAATCGAATTAGTTTGGCCGAAGTGATTAAATTTTGCCCTCGTCGTTTGGACGATAACAGACTCGTTCTGTTCTTGCTATTTCAGGTCGGTTTTACTCGTCATCTCGCCTGTCACACGTGTTTCAGATTACTGATGCTGTTTTACAGCTACATCAAGCTGGTTTGCCTCATTTCGGATTGACACTTGGCAATGTGTTTGTGGATCACACTCACTCATGCGTCTTGGGGGTCCCTGATTTCACAAGTCTTCATCAGTCGGGTTTCTATTCGAAGACGGTCAAGAAAAAAATGCAACAGTCGCAAAAATATTCAGAGAATTCAAACTGTCCAGAGTTAGCAAACATGACTTTAAAATGGGTTTTACGTCAGGTGAGTCTGCCCACGAGATGAATTCCGGTTCAGACATGTATATAATGGTAATTACTTATATCCATACTCCATACTCTTTTCTTTAGTTGATTAATCCTCCAATAAGAGCCCGGGCAAAATCGTTACATTTTGTGAAAACAACTGAAAGAAGCGTGGCGACAACTAGCCTGGTGAAAACATTAATATTCTTATCCGCGTTGTTGGTTCTGCCTCTCTTCTGAGCTCTGACTCGAGAAAGGAACATGGTTGCTATCAAACGAAAAAGGGATAGAATGCAAAGCCGGCAAAGTTTTAATTTGTTTTTCTTACAAATTTCAAATTGACTAATCTCAATAAGTGTAAATCGCGTAATCAAAGGAACCTGCAGTTAGGCCATAAGATCGGCAACATGAAATTTGCAGTAGTGATCCATTTGAGGTTCCAATAGAACTAGTGTATTTATTGATCTGAGGTATAGTGACTCTTGGTACTGTTGGTTTAGTTTCAACCAGTGCGTTAAGAATGTTGTTTACGAGTAAATTTAGCTTTACTTCCTGAATCTGCTACCGCACATCCTTTTTGTTGCAATAACAATGCTTGATGGATACTATCCAGTGTGACTGATCTTTTGATACAAAAAGTCATTTAAATCGTCCGGATGAGGTATCTATGCGGTTTCAATTCAGTTTCTCTTGGGAATATTATCGATAAGGATTTTGAGATCTCAACTTCATTGAGTTTAACTGAATTACACACCAGTTTCCATTTTTCTCATTTCCCCTCAGTGTAGCAACTATGATTACTTAATGTACTTGAACCAACTGGCTGGCCGAACCAAAGGTGACCCGATCAACAGTGCTATTCTACCGTGGGTCACGGACTTCACTCAGCCTCATGCCGGTTTACGAGATTTGACCAAATCAAAGTATCATTTGACCAAAGGTGAGGCTCAGTTAGATGCGAACTACCAGGCGTTTGTGCACGAGCATTCACGCGTTACCAACGCGTTGCACGGTATCAAGCCTATGGGTCTCCCAATCAACCGAACATTGAACTACGAAGATCATGTGAATGAATTAATGAAAGGTACGTTTTCTTTGGTTCGGTCCATTTTTGTTCACCACCGGCCTTTTCGATTACAGATCTTGTGAATGTCTCTCCCGACCGTATCACTGTTGATGAGGAACTGAGAGCAAGACAATGTACTAAAAAAGCACATTTGGTCGGGCGGGGAGTGGCCGGACGTTTTCCTGACACTTTTCAACCGCATCATCTGTTGGATGTAATGCCCAATCTTGCTTATTACACATACATGGTAAGCTTAAATACGTCTGTAGTTATGTGTATTTCCTTGATCATTTCTATGCTTCAAGGGTCATCAAGTCAGTGTTTTTTCATAGCTATTATATTGTTATAATCTGTCACACACGTCTGAATCCAGACTGTGTCAAACAAATCATGGCCAAAACAGGTGAATTGTCTTGGGGAATCCACAACCGCAGCTTTCGGCTAACCGAAGCCTAACCCGCAAGGTAGCGGGGCGGTGTGTGAAAACCGCGATCCATTGGGGGCCGGTGTCTAGTTCATCGGATCATAGGCCCTTCAAACGTCCAAGGTGGCCAATACACCTCGATGTCCAATCGAGACAGTGACCACTGCCACAACCAGAAAGTTGTCCTTGTGGTTCGTACGCCTCCTGTTGGTTGGTTTGAAATCAGGGGTTTTGATCATCAACCCTAGTTGAACTACCAGTGGTCCACCAATCTGGTTATAGATCCGGATATTGGCTTTTCGTCCGCTAACTTTGGTGGGAAAACATACCCACTTCGAGAAGGTAGTGAGTAGGGCGTCCTCAGCAGGGGCTATTTGGAGACGCTATGTTGTATGAGAGCAGTTCGCTAGGTTCAACGGGAGGGTGACCAGCCGCAGCCCTAGACACCCACCTCCGTTCATACTGAGGCTTTCATAGTGCATGTATATGTTACATAAAATGCGCACCGTGCCTTTTCAGGGTGGAGAAAATCACGTGTAGGTCTTACAAACAATAAGTCAAGCAATATACGGGGAGAATGAGTACAGTGATTTCTTGCTTGCAGTCGAAAATTGTAACCGAACGCTCGGAAATACCTTTTCCTGTCTGGCTGTGGCTACAAACCGCAACGCTTTGGCCTCGCTCCACAATCCTGTAACCAAAAGCCGCAACTCATAAGCCACGACCCATATTCCTTCAGCGGCGATGCATACACGCTAGTCAGGCTGCTGTAGATGAGTCAGATCAAAAACTATCGAAAAATTCCGAGGTCATTGGATGTCTAAAGTTTTTATTCTCTACAAATGCAATGTTACAAAGTCTTGTGAGCGAATGAGAGAGTGTGGAGATCACATACTGCGCAGCCAAAGTTCGTAACCTTGCAGCTTCAATAAACTGATGACAACAATGAGGGTGTATTTTTGTGAACTCGGTTCATCATTCCCGAACTGTCAATGTATTTCGTTGACTAAAACGAGTTATCTTAAAGTGGAGATATGGAGTGGTAAGCATTCATTTTTTAATTGCACCACTCACTGATTTACATCGAGGCTCGTAATTGGAAAACAATATACCGTTTGTGTTACATTTGGGATTTTTACTTACATTTCAAATACTTTCAGGTACTGTATCATCAGCATGCGGCATTCGATTGGTCGACAGTGAGGCTATACAGACACCACGATAGATGGTAGCAATATTTGTCAAACATGACCTACTGCTGTACGCATCTACAGTATGGATAAATGTAGAATGGAGGGACAGAAAGATCTTTTTTTACACTAGCGCGGCAGATCGTCTGAGAGTAATTAAATGTGCACACAGAGGTGATGATTTGAGCGACGTTGCTAAAAACCTCGGCAATAAGACAACAACAACAATAACAATAATAAAAAGACGACATGTGATGCTACCACAGCTATATACGTTCCAAAATGGACTGCAAACCCGCTCAAATCCTTCCATCCAGTAAAGGAGCCAAGTTAAGCATAACAGGATGTTCATCTGTCACTGGTATCTTCCAGTACTACTGTCATTCAAAGATTAACTGAAATGTTTAATAGGCTTCTATCAAGCTGCTTCACATCAACCGATATTGAACAACCAGGTGTTCTAGTTGTTTTTATCTTTAACAATGCGCCCATTCATCAGAGGGCTTTGGTTACGCAGTTGCATGCCAAGCACCAAATCCGCTTTCTACCACCATAAAGACCGTTTTTAGGGTAAATCTAAACACGTAGGCGTTTCGTAATACTATGATCCACTCATTATTTAGCGCAATAAAAACTGTAAACACCGAAGCCATACGGGATGTGTCTAGTGGTTTGACGATACAGGGGTATTGCTTAAACCTTACCAATCGATATGTGATGCAGCATTTGATGCCATTATGATGTTCGTCTGGGCAGAATGCGATCGTCACACTTTCTCATTCGTTAACCGGACTCTGCAACATTGCGTTTGTAAAGAGCGAAATCTTGTAATATCTAGTGAATTCGGAATGTTTCGATATTTTTTGATCTGACTCGCCTACAGTGCAAGGCTGACGTTTGTGCGTCAAGCCTAAAGGACTACGTGTCGTTGACTAACAGTCACAGTACTCCTTGACCTGAAAGAAGGCCTGGATTCGGTTGATGGTTAATATGTAAAGGTTGCATTGTCTCGCTGGGGTGGTGGTGCTGTGGTTTAGTTGGCATCACTGGCGTTCTCTGGGCCCTCTGGTCCGCGGTTCGAGCCCCGCTACCGCTCTCCGATTTTAGTGATAGGCAGCGCTCCGTCTGCTGTTCATCATACTTAGATGTGTAATAGAAAAAGGTATACCCCAGAAGCATATAAACCTATAGCGGTCACTGCAGTTACATACTTCGGTTAGCGTTAGGGTCTACGGTGGACTAAGCAAATCGTTCGAAACCGGGAGCGGAGTTCGTCAAGCGTTTCCCATTTCGCCATTCATATTCAACTTCGTCGTAGGTGAATAATTGGAGCATGTAGTAAGTGGTCTTCAAACTGTTGGTTTTAAATTGGCAGCCGGCGAAAATTTGTGCGCATTATCGTACAATGGCATCGTTTATCTATTCGTATGCATAAAGGTTGCACAATGAGCTCTTGACAGATTTTCAAGTGCTGGTACCACATTCGGTATGTGCTTTGCATCGTTGAAGTGTAAAGTGGTGCTACAAGGTTAGGTGTCGTCTATTCCGGCTCTTACGCTTGATGGGCAAGAATTAGTTATAGTGGATTGTTTCTCCTACTTTGTATTTTATTGTGTTGTAATAACTTCTGCGAGCATAAAGCCCACATTTCAGTTAAAATATACAGTTTGGAGCAAGGGAGAAAATGAAAATAACGGTGAAAAAAGAGATTTAAGTTCCAAAACTGTTAACAAAACCTGTTCTTTGTTAACAAGAATACGTGCTAATGAGGATACTGTGGAGTTACGATTAATGTTTATTCTAGAGGGAACACAACGATCTTGTGATCTAGTTGAGCGATGGGAACAACAACTACTTAGGTAGTTGTGTGACAAATGACGGCAGCATAATCATGGAAGTAATCGCCCGTATTTCCAAGGCTCGAGCAGCTTAATCGGGATGGAAGCACCTTTGTTACGGACGTGATGTTTCCTTAAATCTGAAAGGTCGTGTATGTGTGGTCAGTTCTGATTTACGGTTGAGACCCTAAATTTACTCGTGGAAGATATTCAACATCCAGAAGTCTTCGACTGCCGATGTTTACGTAGTTTCGTGCTGGTTGGATGGAACGAGCGTGTAAGTTGTCGTGTGTGTGTTGATGATTCTGTGGAGAATTATTTATCCCATCGAATTCAGATGAGTAGAGTTCGCTGGTTAGGCCACGCTTTGCGCATACTTACCTTTAATTTACCTTACTACGACTGGCTCCTTGGAAAGGATAAGCCGGCTCCATGAATGTCTCTGATGGCCGCTATCCATGCTTGGCAGTTTGCTGCAATATCCTTGCAAATGTTTATCCAGTTTGTTTTCCATCGGCGAGTGCCGTACACCGTCCTAAGACAAAGTTGGTCGACGTTTTCGAATACGGTGTCCAGCCAGGTTTTTACTTGCTCCCCTTGTCGGCGGCGCCAGCCAGGACATGGTGTCGGAGCCAGGACAATACTCGTGAAAGTGTCGTTGGGTCTGCGGAGAAAATGGCCCAGCCATTGCAGTCGGCGGCGTTGTTTGTGCGTTGAGAGACGGGCAATGTGGCATCGATTTCTGAGGTCCACGTTTGAAACCCTGTCCCGCCAATTTACTTTCAGGATGAACCGAAGACACCAGTGATCGAAGACTTCCAATCGTCTGATGTCCTCAGCTCTCAGCGGCCAGGTTTCGCAGCCGTATAGTAGGACTGGTCGAACCGCTGTGGCAAGCACCTTGAGCTTGGTTTTGGGGCTGATCTCGTTCCGGCGCCATAGGGTGGTTCGGAGCTGCAGAAACGCCGTTTGGGCCGTGTCGATGCGCCGATTTACATTATCCTTGCCTTATCCATTAGGTAGGATGGTGAACCCAAGGTACTTGAAGTCCTATGCGATTTCTATTGTCTGACCATCCAGTTGCAGAGGATGTTCCGCTTGAAGTAGTTATGAACATCTTGGTTTTGTTGGGGTTAATCTCAAGGCCGATGTCAGAAGCAAATCTTTCGATACGGTTGAGAGCTGTTTGCAAGGCGGTCAGGTCCTCTCCAAGCACTATCACGTCATCGGCGAATTCGAGGTCAGTAATCCAGTGATCCGTGGAAACTTGGATACCTTGGTAACCTTCCATTTCCCGACGCAGAATCCAATCAAATCCCTTCGATATGAGGTCTGGAGATAGCGGGCATCCTTGTCTTACTCCTGACCTCATATCGAAGGGATGAGACTCTTCGCCGTAGGCACGGATACGGGCTTTGGTTTTGGTGCAACACGATCTCACTATGTTGACCAACTTTGCAGGGACGCCATCTGCAAGCATAATCTTCCACAATGACTCGCGGCCCACTGAATCGAATGCGACGTGAAAGTCACTGAAACATGTAGCGGTGGGGCGCTGAAACTTGTATCGGTGTTCCGGAATTCGCCTTAGGATGAAAATCTGATCGATACATCCTTTGCCGGGTTGGAAGCCTCCTTGGTTTAGCCGCGTATGTACATGCCTCACTGTAGCAAATTGATTAAGCACAAGCAGGGCAAACGCTTTT